ATATATTTTTTTTTTTTTCCTTTTAAACACTCGTATTAACCAAGACAACAACTATCTCTTTGTACTATCTCTCTGCCCCCACTTTTTTTCCCCTAAAAGTTAAAGCTTAGTGTTATTATTTGTTTAGTATTGTCATTGTTATTGTCATTATTATCATTATTATTATCATTATTTATTATTATTATTATTATTATTATTATTATGCAAACGGAGCTAACAGTGAATCATTGTTCGAGCTAGGAATTATATCAAACAAGTCCAAATAATTTGTTATCAAATAAAGAATAAGAAATAGTCTTCACTTAATATCTCCTCGAGACAATGAAATCATGAATAAATAAAAAAAAGAAAAAAAGAACATACATATTCTAAAAATACTGGGCCTGTTTGTTTCGTTTTTTAAAATGTTCTTCACGTTTTTTGAGGAGAAAAAAATGAAAACGCCAGAAAGAAAGTGGTTGGTGCAACACCGTACCAAAATTAAAAACAAAAACATTTTTGTATTTTTTCCAAAAACTATCACATTTCTAAAAACGAATTAAACTCGTTTTTATTTTCTCCATTTCCATTTTCTCTCTGTTCTAAAATATTTTTATGCCCATCACCGGTCTCGACGGTTCTCTTCCCTCCCTCTTCTCTGTTCTCTTCTTGCCCTCTTCTCCGGTCTCCTTTCTCCGGTCTTTTCCGGTCTACTCTGGTCTCTCTTCTCCAGTCTTTCTTCTCCAATCTCTCTTCTTCGATCTGGGTTTTTGGTTAGAGTTTGAGGAGATATATGATTCTCTGAGCCACCTCTACTCCCCCAAATCAACTAACTCTGTGCCGCCCCTACTCCCTTAAATCAACCGAGGTATGCGCCTAATTTGGTTATTATCATGTTTAGGTTGGTATTTTTTCTGATTTGTTGATGATTTGTTGAGTATTGCCGGTTGGGTGGTTTTTAAAAGTTCAGGCTGTATGCCAGTTGATGTTTTGGTTGGAGTATTGCTGATTATGATTTGTTGATGTTTAGGTTGTATGCCGGTTGGGTGTTTTTTTTTTCCTTTTGCTGATATGTGATGTGTTTATATGTGTGTTTTGGGGTTTAGAAACGTTTTTGCATTTGGTTATCAGTGTATGAATAACAAAAACGTTTTGATGTATGAATTAGTTATCACTGATATACTTAGAAAGAGTGGTCATGGTTTAAGGTACAATCAGTGTACCTTAAACCATGGCCATGGTTATTGTTATCACTGATATACTTAGAAAAAGTGGCCATGTTTTTGTTTTTCATAACAAAAACGTTTTGATGTATGAATTAGTTATCACTGATATACTTAGAAAGTGAAAAATGACTTGTTGATGTATGAATGAGTGTATGACTTGATTTTAAGATTTTTTAGTTTTATAAGTTAATTAGTGACTTGTTTTGATGTATGAATAGTTATCAGTGTATGATTGCTGTGAAACTGGAAATATCCAAAAAAAGAAGTAATTAGTCGGTTGATATTCAAATGGTAGGGTGAAAATTACTGCTTATCTATAGACTATGATTTCTTTTAATGCTGAATGGAACTGTTCTTTAGATGTGTGATAAGGATGATAATACAAAATGGCATGCTGCAATTGAGGATTTTTATGTAGAACTGATATATGAGGAGGCAAAGAATGGTCTGCATACATCCACATTGGAAAAAAAAATGAGGATGAAAATTGATAATGAAATAGCACGTAAGTTTGGTAAGCATTTCACATTAGACCAGCTTAAAGCAAAGTGGAATAGGCTTAGACGTAGTACGAGAGAGTTTCATGCATTGATTAAAACAACAGGGTTTGGTAAGGATTCTGAGGCTAACACTGTCATGGCTGAAAAAGAAATGTAGGATTCGTATGTGGTGGTAAGTTTTGATCATAACCATCTTATGTGATATGAAAGAGTTAAATTGGTGTTTTGGATTGCACATGAGTATTTATTATTATTTTCTTTATAGTGTCAGAAACATCCTGATGCTAAGAAATTCAAGAAAGGGGGTTTACACAACTTTGCCTAACTTTCAGATATTTTTGTTAGGACTATTGCTATTGGACAGGGGTCAATGAATGCACATACAACCGTCAATATTTTGAATGCGGTGAAAAGGGCTGCCACGCAACTAGAAGAGGAAGATGAGGGTACAGGGGACTCGGATGAAGTATGGGATGCAGAAGCCAATAGAAGCATACAATCACGGGGTCCTATTACTCGATCCAAGAAGAAGGGCAAGAAGAAGGCTCTAGTTCAAGATGCTATAGTGGCTTTGGCAAAGAGTGCTACCCTACGCAGTGGGATATCTGTTCAAAAAGTTAATTTATTTCAGTAATATTTAGCTGATAAGCAAGCCCGTACTATGGCAGCAGCCGAGGCTCAGAAAGAGGATCCTACTACAAGTATTGAAACCTATATGGATTTGTTGAATGGGTATGAGGAGTACTTAGATGACGATGCATATAATAAGGCAACAAAGAAGTTGGCCGTTGACATTTCCTTTGGGATGATGTTTGTGAAAATGCCTCCTCATCGTCATCTTTCATGGATTCGAAGGCTGTAATTTAGATTATTTTTATTTGTGTTTTTTTCATTATTTTTTTCCTCTCGGACTTGTTTTTTTGTTTTAAGTATTGTTAAACATACTACCTGATCTACCTTTTTGGACTTATGTTTGTTACACTTTGTTATTTGTTTCTAGGCGGATTGAATGACCTTGAAGTTCTTTGTTTGATTAGTTAATGCTACATGGATGTTTGATTAGTTCCAGTCATGTTTCTCTTTTAGGTTAATATGGATTCTGATGCCACAAATAGTGAGGATGATGTCACAATTGTGGACTTTCTTCACTCATTAGATGATGATAAAGAGCCACAAATTTCTGTCCAATTGCTGATGTCGCTTACAAACAGACTAACTAGGCAATCTCGTCGTAATTCTGCGTTAACAGGACGATAATATATTTTGAAACAATTGTATGGACATCCCAAAAATCTGTTTGAAATGTGTCGTATACACCAAGACACGTTCGAAGTAATTGTTCTGTTAATTCAAGACTGCAACCTACTGCCTTTTTTAAGTATATCAACAGAAGAATAACTAATGATGTTCTTAAGAATGATTGCTCACTCAGACCGTAATATAGAGATACAAGATAGATTTGTTCATTTTGGAGAGACAGTACATCGACATTTTGCTAATGTGCTTACCTCATTGTCTGTGTTAGCACCTGAAGTTATAAAACCACCAAATATGAACATCGTCCCCCCAAAGATTTGATACAACCCTAAGTACTGGCCATAGTTTAAGGTACAATCTGATTATGCTCATAAACTAATAATATGACAAATAATTTTAAATTAATCTTAACTCACGCCTTGTGTATTTTAATAGGATTGTATTGGTGCAATAGATAGTAAGCACATAATGGTTGTCCCACATGCACATCAACAGACAGTCTATAGAGGAGAAAGACATTCGTGTACTCAAAATGTAATGGCGACATGTAGTTTCGATATGCAATTCACTTACATCAATACCAGATGGGAAGGATCAGTTGCTGATTCCAGAATGTTAACTGAGACTCTGAGAGATCCAGAGAACCAATTCGTGGTGCCACCCAACCCAAAATATTACGTTGTGGATTTTGGTTACAGCAACATGCAAGGCTTTTTGGCACCATTTCGTGGTCAGAAGTACCATATTCAACAGTTTAGAAATGGTGGCCAACCAACGGAACCACAAGAGTTATTCAATTATTATTACTCTTCACTGCGTAATTGCATAGAGGGGTGCTTTGGGGTCTTGAAAGCAAGGTTTAAAATTCTTAAGCTTGTGACCAATTATTGGATGCCAAGACAATGGCTTATACCAATTGCTTGTTGTGTGATCCACAATTTAATTAAGATGTACGCACGAGATGATCCTATGTCGATTTGCCCTTAGATGATATCGAGGGAGAAAAAGAAGGGCAATAGGGACAACAACAAGATATGGACGCACAATAAGTAGAAACATCTGAAATGGGTAGTCGACGACAACGTAATCACATGGTTAATTTTAGGGATCATCTAGCTGATTAAATGTGGGATTCGTATATGCGACAATAATATACGCTAAGATTATTCACTAAGTAAATTTTTTTTTTACTTATCATTCACTAAGTTATCTTATTTTAAATTATGTACTATTTATTTGTAATGTAATTTAAATTATTATATTAATTATTAGTGTTTTTATTTGGGATTCAATTATTATTTATTTAATATATACTATTTAAAATACTATTACCTGTTTTCAAAAATTAAACCACCAAACGTAGTTTCAATTTTTTTTAAATTAAAAATAATCTCTGAATAAAACTACCAAACACATTTTCAGAAATGATTCCAAAATGGAAATGAAAACATTTTCATTTCCATTTTCATATGGAAAACAAAATTATTTTGGAATGAATTCCAAACGCACCATATATTTACACCCCAAGTTTTTATTAAGCCACCCAAAATGTTTAAAATTTAAATTTATTCTCTTTTTAATATCATAATCATATATAATTCCACTAATTTTTTTTTTTATATTCAACCCATACTATCATTTTGTTAAAAAAAATTTACTTCCCCCCCTCCCTCTTTTTAGTTAACTTTCCATTTGGTATCAGCCCAACATGGTCATGTGTGAAGTTAAGCCTAACTTTATTTTAAGAAAGGGAAAAGGATAATCTTGACAAATACCATTGAAAGTGCATGAGTCAAAAATTTTACCTTTTACTCTTGATTCATAACCTTTTTAGTCAAATAATTACACTAACAAAATATTATTTATTAAGAGTAAAGGGTAAAAGTCCAAACTCATGCACTCTTAAGGGTAAATTTTCCATTGAAAATAATTTTTTTTTATAATCTTGACAAGTACCTCTGAAAGTGCATGGGTCAAGATTTTTACCCTTTACTCTTGATTAATAACTTTTTTAGTCAAATAATTACACTAACAAAAGAGTATTTATTAAGAATAAGGGGTAAAAATTTTGTCTTATGCATTTTTAAGAGTAAATTCTCCCTTTTTTTTGTTTTTTTCTTTTTTGATAAATAAGGGTGAAACTTGGAGATTAAAAAATATACAACTTTGCTGTGTGGTAAGCAAAGTTATATTAAAGTTGTTACTTCCTTTAAATAATCTTAATGTAATTCAATGTTAAAGAAAAAAAAAATAGCCGAGCATGGTTTTGAGGACTCAATTTTTAATTAAATTTTGTTAAAATTGTGACATTTTTCTTAATTTGATATGATTTTTATGTGATCTAACGATTTAAAATTAGGTCTTATTAATAAGATTATCCTATCAAAGAAATACGTGACATAATAATTTTTCTTTTTCTTTTTTTTTAGTTATACATACAAACATATATATGTGTGTTGTGACCATTAATGAGAAATGCTATTCTGCTTTATAAAATCATAGCTCCGCACAATCTCGTATATCTTGGCACAATTCCGTATGATTACATAACCAATTCTCTAATTTCTACTCATCCAGAGGCAGCAGTTGTGCAGAGTTGGTGTTTTTGTGATGCCGAATATCATTTTTCCCGGAGTAGAAGAGATTATTATTACGAGAATTAGGAAGTGCCAAACTATATTTTGAGGCCAAGATAATAATTTCAAGCAGTGAGAGTTTGTTTTTTTTTTTTTTTTTTTTTTTTTTTTTTTTGTGGTGTTGAGCGGTGGTTGTGGTCTTCGTGCTACGGTGTCGTGATCCTTGAGCGATCAGATATTTCCTTCACTTGGGTCTACGTGAATTCACGTGTCGATGTGCATTTCGTATTCGGACTTTTGACATATACTTACCTTTTCAATTAGTCGTTTTCTGAAATTGATTTGTAAAAGGCGTGTTATCGGTATCTTTTTTCTTTTTCTTTTTTTCCATCCAAAAGTATCGTCTCTAATACCTCATAATTAGTCCAACAACCTCATGTACGGTACTGCCGCATCAACCACATGTCCAAACAAGAACCGTCTTGTAATTCTTTGGCTAAATACCAAGTGAAAAGACACTTCTTCCCTTTTTCTTTTCTTTTTCCAAGGAACTGTGTTTGCAGTTGTTTTACTGTATTGTTTTTGTCCCCCCAGACCCCCCCCCCCCCCCCCCCCTTACACTTTTTACTTTTGGGATTTCTCTCTCTAAGGAGCCTGTATAAGCTATTAATAATAATATTCCTCGTCTATTTTTGTACCGTTTAGCACGTTGTTAGTGACCACAATTTTTTTCTCTCTCTTATCATACCATGTCGTGGATGCATAAATCCAGTCAGAACCCATATGTCAGGTTTTGTTTATTTTATTAATTTAAATTATATTATAATAAAAAATTTTAAAAAATAATCACATTTAATTTTTTATTATAATAAAAAAATTTTAAATAAAATCACATCTCAATTTAAATTAAAAACTCAAATCAGTAAACTAAACGGACCTTAAGAAAAATCGATGCAAAGATACATGGTGCTACTCTTTCCTTTATTGTAAACATAGCAAAATAGCTTTGTTAGCTACATAAACAACAATTGTATCCAAATATGTCAAAGTTTCAGAGTAAAAAATAAATAAAAATGTCAAACTTTATTCAACAGACTCCAATCACTGAATATCCAATTGGTACGTATAAAATGGTACAAGTAATTATGCAGTTGCATATATAAAAATCCCAGTAGCTTTATTAGAGCACCAAACATATTGTATCGTAGACTTGGTAATGTTCCCTCAGAATCTTGCATTGCGAAGCTGTTGCTTCAGCAGAGGCCTTATGTACTCGTGGTAGCCATCGGGAACAATAGACTCATTTAGAGGATCTTTCCAGGCCTCCTCGTAGAGTTTTGGGTACACATTACCATCATAGCGACCAAGAATGGAGCCAAGAAAGTGGTCAGTGAAGTTGAACGCATCGACAAGGGCAACGGCACTGGGGCGAACCTAGTGAAAAACCAGTGACACTCGTTACTAGAAAGATGAACAAGTGAGAACGTACATCCTAAAGGTTTTGAGGTGAAGCAATGATTTAAGATTTTAGAGGGAACCATCCGGAGCAAACCTGGGAATATAAAGATCGAAGTTGATCGTTTGCAAGTGAAGCTTGCTCGGGGGTGATGCATCCCGTCGATACAAAATCACCCAGATGTTTGTGGAGGAGATTTAAAGCATATACATAACAGAGAATCTGCAACTGTTCCTTCACTCCTTTCCCAGGAATGTCTTGTCGTAATTTCTCAATGAACCTAATCGATAAAGAAACCTCTTAGACAAGACCAAAAAATAAAAATAAAAATAAAAAGGGACCATAGAGTTGTAAGGCAAAACATCGTCTCATGAACGTTTCCACAACTTTAGTTACTGTAAATTACTGAATTTTAATATCCAGGCTTTAATTGGGTAGAGCTAAGCCGTGTGGCGTGTAAAAATTGCTAAATGTTCTCGATCATGCGACAATGCTACTGTTTCACTTAAGTGGCAAAGACATAAAACATGTCCACTGATACATTTTAGGAAAATATATCGACTGATAATGATACCACGAACGATTAACTCTATTTTCCCCCCTTCAATAAGAACTGGTAAATCATCAGCCAGTGTATATCAGACTACTTTTGCAATTGGATTGGACTGGATGTAACGGATAGAGAAATCAGATTAGGGAAGACGCTTACTTTGAAATGACAATTAACTGACAATGAGCAACTGCTGCCTCAACTAAATCAGCTGCGAGTTCCGAAAAGCCTGGTGCATGAGGAACCACATCTGGTTAGTATGTATACTAACAAAAGTGGAAAAACTTTAGCTTATTCAGTCTTGGGGACGACAGATCCCCCACCCTTTCATATGGCATTGCACGAACGCAAGACATATGACCCATCAACAATGTTTTTTACTTAGTGGAGTGGTTTCACACAGCTTAAAACCTATGAATTTATCAGGGCCATAAACTATAAAATAAAATATGAAAGCATAATTGTGTCCACAAAGTGATTTATAGGCACTTGCACCAACTCCTATCTTCCCCTTGCACATAATCCCTTGAGATACTTGATCAGGAAATGAGAAAAACAGAAAAATGCAGGTAATTTCAAACTTTATTAGGAGTAAGACAAAATATACCCTCATCCCGATTTGCAAACTTGCTAAGGTTTTGAGCACAGGCGATGGACAATCTGGCGGCCCTTGCTTCAAAAACCTCCAATACCACACTAGGATTTATCCAATCTTCAGCTGCAGACAGAACGGTAAAATTCATAAATTTATGCTTGAAGATAAAATCATCCATTTGTATGCATTGGTGAATCAAATGTTAAGAGAGATGATATTTTATGAGTTATCAATCCGGTGAGAAAGCTAAGAATAGAAATTTCAGAAACTTGAAAAGACTAACCTTTTTGCGACGTTGACCGACATTGCATTAGATCTTCAACTCGCCCCAGATATGCTGTGGTTCCAACTGGCTTTTCACCAGATGGCAACTGAGAAACAGTCTTCATGAGGAACCTTGCAACCTATGTTATTTTTGACATCAGCGCATGTAGTTTGAAGAATACAAGAGCTGGAACTAGTGAACCAGCCCTGGAAACAAAGTTCATTCAGTAGTTACCACCAATTTTGCAGATGAATTCGGGATGTAGAATTCAAAGCCAAGGAGACAATAAATTAAAACACAGTTGACCACATTTTTTGCATACTTAAAACTACAAAAGTGTTACCAAGGGCGCCGACTAACGACCACTAATCATACAGTGTTTCCATTTTAGATATCTATTGATAATTTCAGAGACCTGTAGAAGTAGCACAACATTGTCTCCTTCGTACGTACAGGTAGGAATGTAAACTGCAAATAATTCAGGAAGTCCACTGCAAGATAGGTATCCGTGACCACCACATAGTTTCCTGCACTCTTCAATGCCATCCTATAATCCAAGTTAATATTTCGTCAACAAAATAATTAGACAAAAAGTGAAGCATATCCAGATTTAGATATAGTAATAGAAACTACAATGATAAATTGTAATTGTTTTATAGTATCAAGAACCTAAATACTGGTAAAAGAGATTGGCAGAGTTTAACAAGCTGAGCAGCATAGTGGGCATAAAACAAATAAGTGACAGCTTAAGCTCCGCTGAAGTTTCCTTTAGATCATACAGCAGACCTGACAAACTTTTTTGAGTGAAATAATCTAATGCACTTCACTTACTACTTATTTAATACCGGAAAAACAAGGAAAGTAGCACTAGATATACAGAATCATGAAGCTCAGAAATAACTACTTACGGCAGTTGCACTGGTAGTCAAAGACTTCAATCCTGCAGTGCATGCATGAGCCTCGGGCAATGTAGAGAAATCTTTGGCTTGCAACCTTTCACTCACATCCGTGTAAAGCAATTTTAACCACTCACCAACAAATCTGAAAGCATAGGCAGAGGCTAGCAAAGGGAAGAGCCTATTTTGCTGAGTTTTGTAATCAATCACCTAAAGCAAAAGATAGAGCCAAGATGTTTATGATCGATAATCATCACTAAGACATTAAGAAAAAATAATGTTCACGAGGACTACAATTTCATTGGGGGATGGAACAGAAAGTTACTTATCCAATTTCTCCATTATCATTATAAATGGTCCAATTTACAAATTTTCCACTGTTGATCAGCCTACTTGCAATGACACATATCCTTTGGAAAATCCTAAAATTATCAAAAAGATCTTCTCAACAGTGATTTTAAGCAGACCATAATGGAATTGGGCAACCAGAATAGCAATCTATCTGTTACCAGCAACTTTTACCTGGAGAATACAACTTTACATTTAATGAATATCATTTGTCACTATTTCCTTTACAATAGATACATGAGATCACAACAGCTTCAAGCAACAAATACTTGATACCTGGGTCTCAACACCACCATTCTGCGAACCAAATTGTCTACGAACAGCACTGTACCTAGTAGCTATACAAACTGCCCGTGCCAAAGCACATGAAGCATCAGCTACAATTGTTTGACGAACATATACCATAGTACCATAAACTAGCTGCCTTGGAACGCTGGACCGCACATATTTCCCTTCTCTTGTAACTTGTGAAAACCTGATACATTTTGAAAGGAAATTAGAAGGGGGATATTAGTTAACTGCTTGTGACAACTTGAAATAGATCAAGTTTTTTGATGCAATGAAAGTTCGGAAAATAAGCCTAGGATCAATTATTTTAGTGAAAAGTTTCAGAAAGATTAAAGAATTAACTTTATACAATCTTTTAGAAACTGTCTAGTTTAAGCGACTTCAAGGCTCACAGTTCATTAGTGCTCACACTTGGGGAGACAGGAAAAATAAAATGAAGAAATTTCACGATGCTGGAATATCTGAAATTAAACAGCTTTAGACGATAAGCCCTCAGCAGGAGGATGAAAACAAGACCAAAAAAAATGAGAGCAGAAATTGAAACATCAACTCAACCAAGCGTATGGGATATATGTACTTATCTATCAAACTACTTGCCGTGATAAAGAAATATTCTAGCATACACGATACATAGAAGCATAGAGACACGATATATATGCCAGGAGTATACACCTCATCAACATTTGATCTCTTGGAATGCGGACATTGTCAAATCTCAATAGCCCATTGTCCATGGTGTTGTAAGCTCCACTACCAAATTTATTTCCAATATCACCAACAGTTATGCCTGGAAGAGGTAAGTGATCATCCAGGCTCCGAAGTTGAACAATGAAACCTAAAAAAAAGGAGTTTTTTAAAATCAATCTCAAATAAAGTATTCTTCAGGAATCAAGAAGATAAATAATCAACTTGGTAGTTACCGTGTATTCCATAGTCCCGACCATCAGTAATAAGACGCGCAAAGACGATACCATGTGTGGAAACTTTACCCAATCCTCCAGGCCACCACTATTCATAACAGTGAAGTAAGAACATTAAGAATCCAATCTAGAAAGTTCATTCATGGAGAGATGAGAACATTGTGACCGTTCTATAGTATGACAATAACAACATTTTTTTAAGTTCCCATGTCAGGACTCAGAATTCAAACTACATAGATTGGCCTTTTCAGGATTACTTCATATATCTTGGCAAATAAAGATATTTGAACAATTCTGGGAAAACCTATCAGCTATGTGCTTCTTTATCTTGTTAAGCAGATATCCTTGAATTTCAAATGAAAATGCTAAAGATGATCATGACTCATTTTCCTCACTTTGCTTGAAGTCAACGTAGGACTATTAATAACGAACTCGTCCGTCTGAGGATCAAATGTCGCAGTGGTTTCAAGCCCTTGAACATTAGAGCCATGACCTAGTTCAGTTTGTGCATAACAACCAATTATTTCCATCTTATATGCAAGGGGCAACCATTTCCTTTGCTGCTCGTCAGTCCCTTGCCCTTTAATAGCTGGCACAAACATTACCTGCATAAAACCTGTATGTCAATTCATGCAAAGACATCAAAAAATTATTTCTTACGCATAAAATCTAGGAACTAAAGAAGCAGGTTGCAAACTCTAGTGGAACCTACCCAGTGGAGCTCTGTAAAATTAATTTCATCCACGAAAAACCTTAACTTCGTTGCCTCTTCTTCTATAACATCAGAAAATCCCTGTTAAATTACATAATTGAGGAACTTAAAAAATATATAAAAAAATAATTGGCATCCATGCTCTCTAAACTCTTTAGCAGGTGACAGTTTGTTCCCCATGCTTTTAACATTTGGCAAAACGGCCCTCAAATCGTCTATTTCCGTAAAATTCTTGACAGAAAGTCACACGTCACCGATCATGTGAGGTCTTTTTCATGAAAAAGACTTGAATACCCCAAGTCTTGGAATTCTACTTATGCAGTGGACATCCCATGTCAAGAGAAAAGGGGAAAAAAAAAACGCGCGCGCACACACAGAGAGAAAAACCCAATTACAGAGGTAAGCATATTGTACATAACAGCTAAATAAAATCCGGTTCAACATCATCTCATACATCTCTTCTCCGCACTCCATGACCATATCAACTCTACTTTCTAATTTTTCTCATAATTAAGGAAAGCATTAATGTCTTACTTAAAAAATAGAGGAAACAAAAACCTACTGTAAATCTTTCCAAAAAAAGGGGCAAATCGAGGGAGGAGGAGAACGAGCAGCCACTACCATCCAAGCCCCTCCGCCGCGACAGCTCGTCCGATCCCAAACGACCCGCCTGAAGCTTCTTAACACACATCAACAAGTTTGTGACTTTCTTGGGCTAAGTTATTGTTGTTTTTCTTCCTCCATTCTACTTTTGATCTGGGACTTGTTTGGTAAGTGGGTAAACCAAATGATTTGAAGCAAAATTCAAATTCAAAAAATACTAGTATCACTCTTTTTGTCACTCTCTGTATTTATTGTTTGACACGTAGACTCTACTATCTCATTTTTTGTTTAAATAATAATATATAATGTTAGCAGAACTCACGTGTCAAATAGTGAATGCAGAGAGTCACAAAGAGAGTGACAGAAAGAGTGATGTTAGCATTTCAAAAAAAATACGGTGAATGCAGCGAATCACAAAGAGCGTGACAGAAAGAGTGATATTAGCATTTCTCTTTAAATTTTTTGTAAGAAAAAATACTACATTAGAACCGCTTAAACGGGGTTTAAACCCCTTTATCAAACATACTCCTAATGATTCCAAACTGTATGAGTATAAAATTGTGCTTGTTTGATTTGGAATCTGAGATTTACTTTTCCAAATCTGTTTGGTTATTATTATCGTTATCATTATTATTAATTTACTTTTTTGAAGTGTATTATCATTATTATTATTATTATTATTGTTATTATTGATACGAAACTAATCATTTTTTCAAAATGGAATAAAGGGGAAGCCAAGGGTGCCTTATGGGCGATCATCTTAGCAAAGGAAGTTGGTCTGCTATCTTTCGTCGTGATGGGGGATTCTAAAGATGTCATTGATTCCTTCTAGCTAGAATGTCTCCCTGTTTGTTTTAATTTAGACACCGTTTATTTTATTGATTTGAGTTTAGAATTTGAATTTTATTATAGTAAAAAATTCTCAAAAAGAGTCAAATTTAACTTTTTTATTACAGTAAAAAATTCTCACATAAAATCACATCTCAACTTAAATTAAAACTCGAATTAACAAACTAAACAAAAATTTATTTTGTTAAAGTCGTTAGTTTACATTATGTTTTGGTGGCTTAGCCACGGTCTGTGACGGCTCTCTTTGTTTCTGTTGCCTATGGGACTGCTTTGTTTTTCCTTCTCTTACGTCAATGAATATTTTTTCAAACCAAAAAAAGTAATATTCTGACGTGTGTTCTCAGATTTTTTATTTAAATTTTATTAAAAGTTGAATAATTTATTTTTTTTAAAATGCCCTTTTTATCAGGTCAGCTATTCCGTTAAAGAAACAAAAATTAAAGTTGTGTTTATTTTATCGATTTAAATTTAAAATTTAAATTTTTTATTATAATAAAAAATTTTAAAAAATAATTAAATTTAATTTTTTTATTATAATAAATTTTTGTTCATTTTATCGATTTGAATTTTCAGTTTTAAAATTTTACAGTAAAAAATTTTTTAGAAAATATTACATCTAATTTTTTTTATTACAGTGAAAAATTCTCAAAAAATGTTATATTTCAGCTCAAATTGAAAATTCAAATTCACAAAATAAACGAGACCTAAAAAACTCTCTTATAAAATTACAACTCGAATTATAAACTCAAATCAACGAATTAAATGGACTCAATAAAAATAAACGAGAAGGTTAAAAGTGCCCATGTTTAAACGGTTTGAGCCCTTTCAGGATTATTTTGTCAAAATTAAGAATAGGAATTTTTTTTTTTTTTTTTTTTTTTTAGACTATCAATGCCAATTACTTTTAAAAAGAGAAAAAAAAAAGTTAATTTTAGTACAACAATTCTAGTCAAAATGACAACATACCGGTAAGGCGAAGCTCAATGATTCTTTTCCAGGCATGAGCGGCTTTTCTCAGGGTGTTTTTGAACAACTCTTTCCTAGGTAAGATAGTTCTATTATCCTTCCGAAAGGCCTACACACAACAATACTTCATCGGTAAAATCTTCATCAACCATCACAAAACACAAATAAATCGTTCAAAAAAAATCGCATTTTCTAGCTCCGAAGAAGCTAAAACGGCATCTCCTTGCTTAAGAATTCCCAAAATTGTAATGTTTTCCCGCGAACCAAACAGAAAAACAAAAACAAAATCAAAACAAAACTTTACCGGATCGGAGGCTACGAGGCGAGAAATCCGATCGGTGACCTCGAAGGCGTGGCGGGAACCCGCCCAGACGATCTTCATCTCCTCCACATCGAACTGCGCCTTGCTCCTCTCATGCGTTAGGTGATCTACGCCCTCCATTTCCAGCGATCAGACGGTCAAAAACGGCCTAACGAATATAAAAAGAAGGGATTTTTCTCGAGATAAATCAGGAAAAAGGAAGGATTTTGGTGAGCCGAGATATAGAGAGAGAATGACGGAGGATGAACAAAGAGAGACAGAGTATAATATGCACGGTTCCTCTCGTTCTTGTATGGCGCCGAACCGAGAGGATTTTGATAAGCTTTTGTCTTTCCCAAGAATTTTTTTAGCGTTTGAAAGGGGAAAAAACAAAAAAACAAAAAAATCTTAAAATATATCATCATGTGTAAAACTCGTCGATTTTAGTCAACTAGTGCTAGCACAGTTGGTAAGAGGGAGGTAGGTATAAGGGATAGACAACAGTGAGGTAGGTACCTCCCGCTCAAATCCTGAGAATAGCACTTCTTATCAAAAAAATTAAAATAATAATAAAAGAACTTGTCAATTTTGTTTTTGTCTGTATTCATTTTTCTGGTCTGTTTTGGATGAAGATTGACGACTATGCACACGTCAGTTGGATTTTTTTTTTTTTTTTTTTGAAAGATAAAACATTTCATTGCGTAAGAAACAATAGTCCCAGTTGCCGAGGAAATTCACCCTGAATTAATAATTGAATCTATCAGTAAAAACACCGTAACACTGGGGCAAAAATATGTATTGACTAAGATATAGAATATAATTAAAATTAGTTTAAAGTGACAAACAGTTAATGGATTAATCTAATTGACTAAGATTAATCCAGTCGATTAGGATTAACCCCGCGTAAAGGAGACATTAACAACACTGTATAGAGGAAGTTCTAGTTGAACAAAATAACTCACACCGTTTGTAAACAAGTTATCAGGCACAATTAAAACCGAAAGGTGAAAAAACTACCTCCGTTATTATAACTCAAAGGCGAGCACATGTCACCTTTATTACAACCATAATAAAAAACAAGAGAGAAAAAATGGAGATAACACCACGATAAAAAGAGGGCATCCGCTGTTCAACCATTTCCCTTTTACGATCAACATCATATCCAAAAATTTGATGAGGACTCCATCATCTACCCGATCTGGCGCAACAATGAGCCTATCTCACTCCAGTGAGCTTCCTTTGACCATGCCTTGGGTCTCTCAGATCTAGCGTCCTCCAACCATAACCTCCCTACACAGATCTAATCAGATTTAGATCTAGATACTTCTAATCACGATGTCCTCAAATAAATCTTGTGGATGCTGCTCTTTTCCGGTCCCAACTCCCCCTCACCCACACAGCACGTGTTCGGCCTTCCGTCTAGAGTTACCTCCACGGGCACCTACAAACCATGCCTCACCCTCTCCTCTTTAACCGGAGCACGGGGACCCACCCTGTAGTGGTGCCAGAATTCTGCCTCAAAAGGATGGGGAGGCTACTGCAAAGGAAATTCCTTGATGAGTCCGAAGTACTAGGCATACCTGAAGGCATACCAAGAATTAAAATTTCAGGAAGCAAAACAAATTACAATTGCACATCAGTTAGATTGTTGGTTTTACATATTTAATTATTGATATTGATTTGGAGATTTTTAAGGGTGTGGTAAATCTATATAATAAATCATTTATTCTACGTGTATTTATTTATTCTTTTTTTCATTTTGATCAACCAAACAGTGAGACACATTATGAATATGGGCCTTTATTTTTTCATTTTAATGTCATTTTGATCATATCGAACGGTAAGAAATACACTATCGATCCATATGAACTTTTACCGTAAAAAGATATTATTTATGTTTTAAAAATATAGCAAGTTTTAAAATATTTTAAAGTGAATAACAGTAAAAAAAAAAATATTAGGTAAATTTTCTATAAGTGAATTTGCTATTTACTTTAAATAATGTAAAATCTCACTACTGAAGTTTTGTACAACTTTCGTTTTTTTTTTTTTTTAATCTTGTTATCCCATGTTACGGATGCATAAATCCAGTCCGGAAAAGCGAATCCATATGGCATACTAAAACAAATCGCTGCAAAGATACATGGTGCATACTATGATACTCAATAATTTATCAGCTACAAGAACAACACTTGAATCCAAATATGTTGAAAATTTTATTCAACAGACACCCATAACTGAATATCCAAATTGGTACATATAAAATGTACAAATAATCATGCACTTGCATATATAGCAGCTAAAAATCCCAGTAGTTTTATCAGAGCACCTAACGTTTTTGTGTGGCATAATTGGTAATGTTCTTTCAGAGTCTTGCATTGCGAAGCTGTTGCTTCAGCAGAGGCCTTATGTACTCATGATAGCCATCGGGAACAACCGACTCATTAAGAGGATCTTTCCAGGCCTCCTCGTAGAGTTTTGGGTACACATTACCATCGTAGCGACCAAGAATGGAGCTGAGGTAGTGGTCGGTGTAATTAAACGAATCAACAAGGGCGACGGCATTGGGACGGACCTAGTGAAAAAAACACATGAATTCGTTATTACTATAAGGATGAACAAGTGAGAAGAAATGGTTTAGAGGGAACCAATCGGCACAAACCTGGGAATATAGAGATCGAAGTTGATCGTTTGCAAGTGAAGCTTGCTTGGGGGTGATGCATCCAGTCGCTACAAAATCACCCAGATGTTTGTGAAGGAGATTTAACGCATATACGTAACAGAGAGTCTGCAACTGTTCCTTCACTCCTTTCCCAGGAATGTCTTCCTGTAATTTCTCAATGAACCTAATCAATAAAGAAACCTCTTAGACGAGACAGAGATAAGACCATAGAGTTGTAAGGTGAACCGTTGTCTTCATGAATGTTTCACACAACTATAAATACTGTAAATTACTGAATTTTAAAAATACTCTTTATCCAGGCTTTAATCAGGTAAAGCAAGGCCCTTCTTACCATCAATCGCTTTGTGATTTTTTTTTTTATTTGTGAAAATCACTTCATGATTTAGATCACGAGGCAATGATACTAATTCACTTGAGCAGCAGAGAAATAGAAAATGTCCATTGATACATTTTCGCAAAATATATTGATTGATAATGATACCAAGAACGGTTAACTCTATTCCCCCCCCCCCCCCCCAAAGAACTGGTAAATATAGCGTAGATCAGACTACTTTTGCAATTGGATTGGACTGGATGTAACAGATAGAGAAATCATATTAGGGAAGACGCTTACTTGGAAACGACAATTAACTGACAATGAGCAACTGCTGCCTCAACTAAATCAGCTGCAAGTTCCAAAAAGCCTGGTGCATGAGAGAACGCAGCTGGTTAGTGTATATATATGCCAAAGTGGAAAAACTTTAGCTCATTCAGTCTGGGAGATGACCGATCCCAAACCCTTTCATATGGCATTGCACGGATGCAAGAAATATGACCCATCAACAATGTTTTTTACTTAGTGGAATGCTTTCACACAACTTAAAACCTATGAATATTATCAGGTCCATAAACTATAAAAAATAAATAAAATAAATAAATAAAAATAAAAATATGAAAGCACAATTGTGTCCCCAGAGTAATTTATAAGCACTTGCGCCAACTCCTATCTTCCCCTCACACATAATCCATTGAGATACTTGATCGAGGAAATTAGAATAACAGGAAAATACAAATTATTTTAAACTTTACTTGGAGTAAGACATGACATACCCTCTTCCTGTTTTGCAAACTTGCTAAGGTTTTGAGCACAGGCGACGGACAATCTGGTGGCCCTTGCTTCAAAAACCTCCAATACCACACTAGGATTTAACCAATCCTCAGCTGCAGAAAGAATAGTAAAATTCATAAATTTATGCTCGAAGAGAAAAATATCGATTTATGCATGCATGGGTGAATCAAATGTTTTGAGAGATGATATTTTATGAGTTATAAATCCTGGAGCATATGGTTTCCTTCCAATTCTAACTATCCAGACATCAATAACTGTCAACAACCAATTCATGCCTTGATGTCTAATCACAAGAACTTAGGAAAACAGTAAGAAAGCTCCCAATAGAAATTTCAGATACTTGAAAAGAGTAACCTTTTTTCACTGTTGAATGACATTGCATGAGATCTTCAACTCGCCCCAGATATGCAGTCGTTCCAACTGGCTTCATCCCAGACGGCAACTGAGAAACTGTCTTCATGAGGAACCTTGCAACCTAAGTTATTTTTGACATCAGTGCACATAGTTTGAAGAATACAAGAGCTGGAACTAGTGAGCCAGCCCTGGAAACAAAGTTCATTCAGTAGTTACCACAAATTTTGCAGATTAAATCAGTATTTAGAATTCAAAGCCAAAAAGACAATAAATTAAAACACAGTTGACAACATTTTGTGCATACTAAACACTCAAACAAAGGAACCAACAAACAACCACTGATCATACAGTGTTTCCATTTTAGATGCCTACTGATAATGTCAGAGACCTGTAGAAGTAGCACAACATTGTCTCCTTCGTATGTACAGGCAGGAATGTAAACTGCAAATAATTCAGGAAGTCCGCTGCAAGATAGGTATCCGTGACCACCACATAGTTTCCTGCATTCTTCAATGCTATCCTGTAATCCAAGTTAATATTTCATCAACAAAATAATTAGACACGAAGGTAAACACATCTAGATTTAGATATAGTAATAGAAACTACAGTAATACATCGTAATTGTTTTATAGTATCAAGGACCTAAATACTGGTAAAAGAGATTAGCAGAGCTTAACAAGATGAACAGCATAGTCTTAGAAAAAATAAAAAATAAAAAAGGTGAATAGCATAGTGGGCTTAAAACAAACAAGTGACAGCTTAAGCTCAGCAGAAGTTTCTTTTAGATCATATAGCAGACATAACAAACTTTCCAGTGAAATAATCAAATACATATAAAAATCATGAGCTCAGAAATATTTACTTACGGCAGTTACAGTAGTAGTCAAAGACTTCAATCCTGCAGTGCACGCATGAGCCTCGGGCAATGTCGAGAAATCTTTGGCTTGCAACCTTTGGGTCACATCCGTGTATAGCCATTTTAACCACTCACCAACAAATCTGAAAGCATAGGCAGAGGCTAGCAAAGGAAAGAGCCTATTTTGCTGAGTTTTGTAATCAATCACCTAAAGCAAAAGAGAGAGCCAAGATGTTGACAATCGATAATCATCATTGAGACATTAAGAAAAAACAATGTTTATGAGGTCTACAATTTCAATGCGGGATTGAATAGAAAGTTACTTATCCAATTTCTCCATTATCACTAACAAATTTTACACTTGATCAGCCTACTTGCAATAGTCACAAAAATTACAGCAACACAAAGTCTTCTTTAGGAATCAATATGTTATCAAATGATGCTCTCAACAGTGATTTTAAGCTACCACACTAGAAAAGGGCAACCAGAATAGCAATCAATCTGTTACCAGCAACTTTTACCTGGAGAATACTAACTTAACACCATGAATACCATATGCCACTACTTCCTTTACAATAGATACATGACATCATAACAGCCTCCAGCAACAAAATACTTGAAAACAATACCTGGGTCTCAACACCACCATTCTGCGAACCAAATTGTCTACGAACAGCACTATACCTTGTAGCTATACAAACTGCCCGTGCCAAAGCACATGAAGCATCAGCTACAATTGTTTGACGAACATATACCATAGTACCGTAAACTAGCTGCCGTGGCACATTTGACTGCACATATTTCCCTTCTCTTGTAACTTGTGAAATCCTGATAGATTTTGGAAAGGAAATTAGAGGAGGGATCCTAGGATCAAAGAATTAAGTTTATACTTTATTCTAATAACAGTCTAATTGAAGCAACTTCGAGCCTCACAGGTTCATTAGTGCTCACACTAAGAAAAAAAAAATAGCAACCTCACAATGTTGGAATATCTAAAATTAAACAGCTTTAGATGACAAACCCTCAGCAGGAAGATGAAAGAGTTTAGGGAAAAAAAAAAAAAAAAAAAAAAAAGAAAGAAAAAGAAAAAGAAGAAGAAAAGAAAGAAACATCAACTCAACCGAGGGTATGGGAATATGTACTTATCTATCAAACTACTTGCCATGATAAAGAAATATTCTAGCATACACGATAAATAGAAGCATAGAGACAAGATATATATGCCAGGAGTATACACCTCATCAACATTTGATCTCTTGGAATGCGGACATTGTCAAATCTCAATAGCCCATTGTCCATGGTGTTGTAAGCTCCACTACCAAATTTATTTCCAATATCACCAACAGTTATGCCTGGAAGAGGTAAGTGATCATCCAGGCTCCGAAGCTGAACAATGAAACCTAAAAACAGGAGTTTTTTAAAATCAATCTCAAATAAAGTATTCTTCAAGAATCAAGAATATAAATAATCAACTTGGTAGCTACCATGTACTCCATAGTCCCGATCATCAGTAATAATAAGACGCGCAAAGACAACAGCATGTGTGGAAACTTTACCCAATCCTCCAGGCCACCACTATTCATAACAGTGAAGGAAGAACATTAAGAATCCAATCTAGAAAGTTCATCATGAGAACATGGTAACCGCTCAATACAATGGCACTAAAAACATTTCATTAAGTTCCCATGTAAGTATACAAACTATATAGATTGGTCACTTCAGGATTAGTTCATGGTATCTGGCCAAATAAAGATATGTAAAATTCAAGAAAGCCATCTGCTATTTGCTTCTTTATCTTGGTCAGCAGAGAGATCGTTGAATTTCAGTAACTAAATAAATGAAGAAATGAAAATGCTAAAAGATGACCATGACTCATTTTACCCACTTTGCTTGAAGCCAATGTAGGACTATGGATAACAAACTCGTCCGTAAGGGGATCAAATGTCGCGGTGGTTTCAAGCCCTTGAACATTAGAGCCGTGACCGAGTTCAGTTTGTGCGTAACACCCAATTATTTGCATCTTATATGCAAGGGGCAACCATTTCTTTTGCTGCTCGTCAGTCCCTTGTCCTTTAATAAACGGCACAAACATTCCCTGCGTAAAATCCACATGTCAATTCATGTAAAATTATAAAATAATAATAATAATAATAATAATTGCGTCCGCATAAAATTCTAGGAACTAAAGAAGCAACTTGGAAACTCCAGTGGAACCTACCCAGTGGAGCTCTGTAAAATTAGGTTCGTCCGCGAAAAACCTTAACTTTGATGCCTCTTCTTCTGTAACATCAGAAAATTCCAGCTAATTTACATTATTGAGGAATAAAAAAATAAAAAATAAAAACCTTAATTTTAGTACAAGAGTTCTAGAATAAACAGAATGACAACTTGATGAAGACAACAACATACCAGTGAGACGAAGCTCAATGATCCGTTTCCAGGCATGAGCGGCTTTTCTCAGAGTGTTTTTGAACAACTCTTTCCTAGGTAAGAGAGTTCTATTGTCCTTCCTAAAGATCTACGCAACAAAAATTCATCATTAAAATCTTCAATCATCACAAAACACGCGTAAATCGTTAAAGAATTTCCACATTTTTAAAAAGTCTCTCCTTAAAAACTAAAAATCCCCAAAATCGAAAAGTTTTCCGGCGAACCAAACAGAAAAAGAGTAAGAAAATTCACAAACACGATTGAAAAAAAAAATCAAAATCAAAAAAATCAAAACCTTACCGGATCGGAGGCGACGAGGCGAGACATCCGATCGGTGACCTCGAAGGCGTGGCGGGAACCCGCCCAGACGATCTTCATCTCCTCCACATCGAACTGCGCCTTACTCCTCTCGTGCGCCAGGTGATCTACGTCCTCCATTTTCAGCGATCGGACGGTCAAAAACGGCCTAACGAATCCAAAGAGAAGAGATTTTTCTGGAGATTAATCGGAAAAACAAAGGGAAGGATTTTGGTTTGCAGAGAGGGAAAATGCGTGGTTCCTTCCTTCTTTCCTTATATACCACCGAACCGAGTGCTCTACGTTATTGCAGGATTTTCGTTGTGATGAGCATTTGTGTTTCCCTAGGATTTTTGTTTGAACGGACTTGGAGGTTTTTTTTTTCCTCCCTTTTCTGTTCTTGTATTGTTAAAAATATCGTCACGTGTAAAACTTGTCAAAATTTTTTGTTTCATCACTTTTTGCTTTTGTCTGTATTACGAGAGTCGTTTTGGATGAGCATGACAACTATGCATATGTCAGTTGGATTTTTTTTTGGCCGGTTAAAAGGAAAAATGTGGCCTTTCAGTCTTTTCACCCTTGTTTACTTTCCCAAGCCCCTCGGTTGGTTCATTTGGATAAGAGGACAAATTTTAAGAAAATAAAAGTGTTAGGTGGAGCAAATTTCCTATTTTTCCCATAAAAATAAGTTAAATTGAAGGACCCGTAAACCCATACCAAAAACAAAACAAAAAAAATGAGTGAGCGTACCAAAATGCCTTGTCGGCTGCAGCTTTTTTTAGCTCTGAATTTCTCAACGTTTACAAGGTGGATTAATCAAATTTATTTATTGTACCAAACACATGCGGTAAAGAGAAACTGCTAAACAGTCGAATGCCCTCGCTTTCAGTTTCCAATTTTGGAAAAATCAGGGAGATAAAGAACTAGTAAATTCCATTTGGCTGGTTAATCTACGAGCTCCTATCGATAATGCACATATCTAATTGTTATATATTGTTAAAATTACGTAAAAATTAAAAAAAATATATATAAAATAAATAATTTTTAATATAAATTTAACGATTGAAAAACAGAAATTTATCGATTATTTATTTTTCCAAGTCCAACCATCCACGTCTCCTAATCTATCTATATCAACTAAGATTCTAGTTTTTTCTTTTTTAAGTACAAAGGATTAGATTAGTCTAGTAGTCTAGTTATAAAAAATTATGGGAACAGGTTGTATGGCACATGATTTATTAGGCTTTTAAAACTCACAAGTTGGATCCGGGGAGTTTCCAAATAATTCATCAGTGGAACTTTGACTTTAATTAGTAGGATAGTCACAGAAGCAATTTTCAAATATTTTTAGCTATAAGATTTTGAATTATACGTATAAGATCAAATCAGTATAGAAGCAAAAGTCAGTCCAAAAATAGTTTAAAACAACAAATGATGGCAGCATACATCAATTTTCAATGACCATATTTAATAGCAAATGTAGTATGACAAACATGAAAATGCATGAATAAAATAGTATATGTTGATCATTTACTAGTCTTCTCAGTACTATTTTGCAATAAATTTTATCAGAAGACAAAATAAATCCCACCAAATACCAAACACCAACCCCACACACGACTTGAAAAATTCAAGGACGTTACAAAGAAAGAAACACATAAGAGAACTACCCCATATCTGTTAATAGATACATACACTTGATATGTGAAAAGAATCAAGTTGGTCTTAAACTCACTGACAGAGAAGACGATGAATGCGGATTTTTCCTCTCAGATCCCAACTGGGGAGAAACCAGACTTAGTTTTCTGATGCGAGCATAAGACAGTTTATCAGTAAAGGGCTGCAATCAGAGTTCATTGCCGTTCTATCATTGACAAATGAATAAACGCACATATTCTGGCTGGAGGATCAAAAGAATTGTGGTCTCATGAGACAAGAATGTTCAAGATTGCGCAGTGAGAAGACCGGAGTCTCTCAAAGAGAGCTTACAAACCATTTTGCAGGACTAAACTGCCTTCAGTTAACTCCGTTCGACAGCATTCGTCACGGCAGAAGGCATGCAGTTGTCACAATGCAGTCCGAGTTGAACTTGAACATACCCCAAACTTTCTCATCAACTCTATGCTTTCTGCAATAGTTGAACCCAAAGTCCCGACAAATCCAAGGGAGGCACAGCTGCAAACAGTTTCTTCTATGTATAGAAGTGCATCCGCTAATGTTGAGGGACGACAATGCTTCTGAATCTTACTATCTCCATCGCTACTTTTTGAAAGAAACCCAGAACTCAAGCCATGATTTGCAACCGCAAGTGCTCTTGCCGTTTGCATAACCAACTCATCTGTGCCTTTCAGAAGATGCAGTTTAAACTGATGAGAATCTCCAGCCAAATCTCCCAAGTAACTTCCGGTCCAATTAGCCTCAGGAAGATCAGTCATCACAAAAATATGAGTGGGATGAGAACTCTGTCCCAAAGATTCGATTTTCTGCTTTAACCCCAGAAGCGTTGTCTTCCAATGGTTCTTAAATTGACCATCTAATAATCTAAGCTGTGCACAGAGAAACGGAGCTTGTATGGTCTCACGAGCAAACCTTTTTCCGGCGCTGATAACTTCAGGGACAAATGGAAGAAACTCAATTTTCTCAATCAATTTCTGTATCCTTTGATCTCTTGGAGATTCATGGATGTCAATGTATAGCTCTGAACCTTTGTAAGGACTAGTGAAAATGCTCCCAAATGCCAGCAATGTAGCTGAGTCAGCTTCGGAATCAGGTCCAAGATTCTTATACACATCTCTTCTTCTCCTAACATATGAAATTTTCTTCTTCTTTTTGAGCTGTTCATCGGGCTGGAAAGAATCCAATGTACCATCTTCATTATCATTTTTGTATGTCCAAACTGTAGTTCTGCAGTCCTCATTCACAGCATATAAACACTTACTCACACTACCATCCAGCCCAGCTAGTAGAGATCCACATTGTTTAAGGCTATCAAGCAAAGATGATTGCTTATCCGATTCATTGACACAAATGCCCTCTAAGTTAAGATTGCACCATTGAGAAGCAAACACCCTAAAATCTATAGCTCGTATAAAGGACGAAGAAACTAATGATGAAATATCAACGATATCAGCCATGGAGACATACCTGCAATAAGACAAAAAAAATATTGGCGAAAACATAACAAGATCATAAACTTTAGAACCATCTGATACACATGAAACTGCTCAGAAGTCTAGCATTCACGAAATCCAAAGGTTGAGCTGAAAATCATATGAGAATACACATTACACGCAGAAAAGGAAAAGCTTAAGGCCTCGCTTTGCAATACTTTTATTTTTCACATTCTGTTTTTTTTAGTTAGGAGTCAAAAACAAAATGGTTAAGATTTGATCTCCGCCCTACATTTCACTTTCAAAGAAAACAGAAAACATAAAATAAAAGTGCCAGTAACTTGGCTTTTTTTGAGAGAACCCAGTAAAGTTTGTGCAGTTATTGTTGAGAATTTGCGACTAACTTGAAATCAGAAAACAAGAACCCGAAAAGGACAATACTCTTAATTCCTTTACTCTCCCTTCCAACAAAATATCATTCTGAATTTAAAACTACACATTGATCACATTCACAAGAAAACAATTTGCAAATGCCATTGTTAATGATTATATGAAAAAGTACACAAACCATTACCAACCAACGGCAATCAAAAGCTAAAATTTGAAATATGCTTTATTTGGTGCCAAATTTGTCACTAAGTAAAGCACATGGAAAATCTAGCATAAAAAATAACACTACATTGGAGTGATTTTTGTTGCAAATGCTATAATTTGACATTAGCACACAATTTTAGCATTACATGCGCTTAGCACAAAAACTTTAAAAGAAAAAAAAAAAAAAAAAAGAAGTAAAACCCACATTCCAATCTCAACAAAACACATCACTAAATCCCTAGGGGAAAAAAAATAAACACGAAACGGACATACCTTCCACTGCGAATGAGCTCAACGGCGTGATCCCAAACCGAAGCCCGAATCTCGGCCGGAGCCGAAACACGAAACTTGGGGCAGCTTCCGAGCGCGACGGCGTGGTGGTCCAAGATCGGAGGAACGATCAAAGTCCGGTTCAGAATGGCGGCCATCAAAAGGGCGTTCTTGAACTCGGAGAGCTGGTTGCTGAAGCCGCTGTGGGGCGCATACCAGAGGAACTTTTCTCGGGGCGAAGGGATCCGGCATTGGTTTTGGAGGGAATGGGGGGTTTTGGAAGAAGAGAGAGAGAGGGAAGTGGGAGAGAGAGATTGGTAGTAGAGGAAGAATATGAAGGCGCAGAAGAGGACGGTGATGAAGAGGAGTGGCGATCTCTGTGATGATGATGATGATGATGGCCTCTTGGTGGGCCATGGTCTGGTGGTGGTTGATCTGTTCGGGTTGAAGTTGAAGAGATACATGGCTCTCGAATCTCTCTCTTTCTGGTTTTGGCGTTTTGATGTAGTTAGAAGAGAAGAAAAAAGCTAATTTATATGTTATTCTTTTTTATTTTTTTTATTTGGTTAACCAATGAAAAAGTAATCCCTCTAGGGATTTTTTTTTAATAGGAAAAAAAATGCTCCCTTTAATTTGAGCAAGGGAAATGCTACTAATGTAAAAAAATTTGAAGTTTAGAGATGTGTAAATCGATAAGTAGTATACGAATCTGAATTATGCTAGAAGAAAAATACTAAATTTCTTCTGAGTATTGGCCAAAATAAGTCCCTTATATCCCTTCAACAACAAAAATAATAAATAAGTCCCTTATATTATTTTTTTATTTTTTTAAGTAACTTGTAGGACTCCAAACTAGAAAGTAGGGGGTAAGAATTGAGCCCGAACTCGAGCAATCCGCCCGACCCGACCCAAAAGTTAAGTTTTTTTTTTTAATTCATATTAAATTAGTCCCAACCCGCATTGTGCGGGTTGGGGCGGGGCGGTCTTTTTTTAACCCGATTACACCAACCCGACCCGGATGTGTAAGTGTAACCCTAATTCCTTCGTCTCTTCGCTAGCCTCCCTCAGTCCCTCTCAGTCTCTTCGTCTCTTTGTCTCACTCTCTGTCTCTCGCCTCCATCCTCCTCTGTTTCTCGCCTCCCTCCAGTCCTCAGTCTCTCGCCTCACTTCACTCACGCCTCGCCTCCTCCTTCGCATTCTCCGTTCCACTTCACCCTAAAAGCCTAATCCTCACGCCTCGTATCTAGCTTCGCATCCATTTCACACTAAATCTCTAATCCTCACACTCGTCGTCGTTCCTCATTCTCCGTTTCTCTTCTTCTTCTTAGTCTGTCACCGTTCCTTGCCGTTCCTCACCGTTCATCGTAAGTTCCTCTTCTTCTTCCCGTTTTTTTTATTTCTCTATGAATCAGAGCAAACCAAACATAAATGGCTTTGTGAAATTTGAATGTTTTTGTTGAAATTTATTACTTTGTGAATTGGGGTTGTTTGTTTGTTTCATTAATTTGAATCTTTTTTTTTTTTCATTCAATTGGCTGACTTGGGAGGAGGTAGGACATTTCCTATCTTTTGCAATTTTTATTTATTAATATCCATTAATGGACGAAAAATTATCAATATAACCATTAAGGAAATAAGTAAATGTGAATCTGGGTTCGTCAAATATGTTTCAACTTTTGTTTTAGGCTCAATCTCCATTAGCATTTATCTCACGACCTACGGACGTTTTTTTTTTTTCTTTTAACCGTGTGAGGTTCTTACAGTGGTTTGGAAACGAATGTGGTTTGGAATTCAGGGTTTAATACTTTGAAAACGAATGTGGTTTTTTTTAAAATGAATGTGGTTTTTTTTTAAAAACGAATGTGGTTTTTAATGCAATTTTGATGTTGGTTTCTGCTTTTTTGTTTCCAGCTGAGGAAGAAGGGTGAAGACTGAAAAGGTATTTTCAGTCTATACTTTGAAGACTGAAGAGGCAATTGAAAACATAAAGGTTAGACTTTTTTTTATGTTGGTTTCTGCTTTTTTTGTTTTATGTTTTTGATTTTTTGTTTGTTATGTGATATATTACGTTTTTCAATTTTGAAAACAGAAAGGTTATATGTGATATATTACGCTTAGTCTCAATTATATGTTATCTGTTTTTAGGTTAATTTGTGTGCTAGATGGAAAAATTTATCATCCACCCGACACAAACTTCTAAAAGCACTTGCAAGTCCTCTGCTGAAACAGAAAATGTCTCTATGCCTAAAGAGGCCATCACCTTGCCCACTCCCACACCCAGCCCTACCCCTATACCTAATTTGGGCACTAAAATTGAAAACGAAAAAGAGGAGGGAGACAGTAAAAAGAGGAAGAAGTCACAAAAAAAGTCTCCTGTTTGGAATCATTTCAAAATCATAGAGGGTGGGGATCCAAATGAGCCTAGGTGTAAGTGTATCTATTGTGGGGCAACATATGCGTGTGATAGTAGGAGACATGGCACCAATAGTATGAAGGTTCACATAGAAAAGTAATGCAAGAAATACCTATATAGGAACCAAGACAAAAAGTAAAAAACTCTGAGTTTCCAAACAAACACTGAAACTGGCAGTAGTCTTGTTGCTATAGGCTTTAACAAGAAGCATTGTTGTTTGTTGAAGGTGAAGGATTTAAAAAATTTTGTCAAGTGACGCAGTCTAGGTTCTCTATCCCCTCCCGTGTTACGATTGCTAAGGACATTTACCAATTTTTTTTGGAAGAGAGGAAGAAACTAAGGGCTGAATTTAGTAAGGGCAGTTAAAGGATTTGCCTAACAACTTGGACATCCTTACAAAATATTAATTATTTGTGTCTAACTGCACACTGCGTTGATAGTGAGTGGACTTTACAAAAAATGATTATAAACTTTTGTCAAATTTCAAGTCACAAGGGAGAGAGTGTTGGTAAAGTCATTGAGTCATGTTTGCATGCTTGGGGCATTGAGAGAGTCTTCACTATGACTGTTGATAATGCCTCCTCAAATGACTCCATGATTACCTACTTGAGAAGGAAGATTAAGGGGTGGAAAGGGGTTGTTTTAGGTGGGGAATTTCTACATGTTAGGTGTTGTGCCCATATAGTGAACTTGATTGTCAATGAAGATTTAAAATACCTACATGATTCCATAGCTGCCATTCGTAACGTTGTGAGGTATGTGAGGTCTTCTCCGGCTAGGTTGCTGAAATTCAAGTCATGTGTGGAGCGAGAGAAAATTGAATACAAAGGTCTCATATGCTTAGATGTCTCTACTAGATGGAACTCCACCTATATGATGTTAGATGCAGCCATTAAGTTTCAAAAAGCTTTTGAAAGATATGAAGAGGAAGATGACAAGTTTGTGTCTTATTTTCGGGAAGATAAGGGGGGAAACGGAAGATTGACCCGCCACTTGATAATGATTGGGAGAATGTTAAGGTGTTTGTGAAATTTCTAAAGACTTTTTATGATATAACTTTGAAGTTTAGTGCCACTTTGAATGTCACTTCAAATTCTTACTTTCATGAGCTTTGTGAGATGCAAAACCAGCTATCTGAATTAAGCAAACAAGAGGATTCAATGCTTTCATCTATGGCAGTGAGTATGAAAAAGAAGTATGACAAGTATTGGGGGAATGTTAAGAATATAAATTGTCTTCTCTTTGTGGCTGTTGTACTTGATCCTAGGTACAAAATGGATTATTTGACATATTATTTCTCTATAGTGTATCATTCTTGCACTTCTGAAATATTAGTAAAAAATGTGAAGGATACTATGTACCGGCTGCATGAGGTTTATAGTGGGAAGAATGGTGAATCTGTGGCTAATGAAAGTAGTGGGGAGGCGGCAACAAGTACAACGGAGGGAAAAACAAAAGTAGAAGGAAAAGGGTGTTTGTGGAGCAAGTTTGTTAGGAAAATGAAGGAGAAGAATGTGAATGAATACAAAAATGATGTGGACAGATACTTGACAGACCATATGGAGGATCTAACTCGGTCAAATTTTGATATTTTAGATTGGTGGAAGAATAATGCAACTAATTACAAGGTTCTCTCACTAGTTGCAAGAGACATTCTTGTCATTCTTGTTTCAACGGTAGCCTCAGAATCTGCTTTTAGTACCAGAGGCCGCATCCTCGATCCCTTTAAGAGTTCATTGAGCCCCAAGATAGTGGAGGCATTGATTTGTACACAAAATTAGCTGCGTAGTCGTCAGCACATCAACCTTATTGACGTAGAGGACTTTAATGAATATGAAGATATTGAGTCAGGTAATCTTTTTACGTTTTACTTATTTTTTTTTTAATTTTATTTCATCTCCTTGTTTATTTTGTTGTTCTAAACTTGATTCTGATGATTTTTTTTGTTATGTTTTCTTCTCAAGATTTGTTAAATTCTGTTGCAACACATGAGGGGCAAGTTGGGAATAAATGTGCTATTATTCTGGATTAAACAGTTTAGAGTGAACTAAATTTTCTATTTTGTGACTTTCTTTATATGGACTGTTTATTTTTATATGGACTGTTTATTCTGGATTAAACTGTTTATTTTATATGGACTATTTTGCTTCTCAAGATTTTATTTCATCTCCTTATTATTTATGGTTTTGGACTGTTTAAAGAGGTATGAAGTCATAGATTAAAATTAGTTTTCACCAACCCGAGTAACCCGACTCTACCCGATGTCACCCGAAAGGTTGCGGGTTTATAGATTTAAGAGAGTGTCGCGGCCCAAAATTTTCTCAACCCGCACAGGTCGGGTAGGCTCAATTTTTCGGCTCAACCCAACCCTACCCGGCCGATTTACACCCCTACTAAAAAGATCTTAAATTGTTTATTTATTGGAAAATCAATCAGGATTAAGGAATGTCAGTTAAACCGGAGTAGGATTACAATCCTTCAAAACATCAACGTTATAAAACCCAAAAGCTACCAAGTGCTTGGCAGCTTCATTTCGATTTTCAACTACGAGAAATGAAAGAGAAGGAAATAGAAGTTAAAATTCCTAGAGAATAGAAGTTAAAATTCCTAGAGAGAGCTCTAATATCATCAAGAACAGGATCCTTGGGTGACAAGGAAGAACCTCTCCGAATTGAAATGGAGAGTCCATTGCGAACTGAAAATCCTCTCGAATTGCTATGAGAGGGCTAAAATTCCCTCTACTCTGCTTTGACATCGCTGTCACACCCAAAACTTCTCCCATATGGTCACGAATAACTACACCTATACAAACCCAATCTTCGTGAGGGCTAACCACGGCATCAACATGAGTGGGGGCCAACACAATCTTCGATCTAGGACCGCCCGGGGGCGATGCTTTAAGTGCTAAGCTGGCCCGCTTTGAACTATAGAGAAGCATTTTTCACCCAACAAGCAGGAGAACAACAGAAGCCATTTTGAGTCGAGTTGTTTCTACTCTTCCATATGCTCCCCATGATTACACACAATAACTCCCATCTCATGCTTTGGCAGCAAGATGAGGGAAAAACACTCAAAGTTTAAACTAGCTTTATGATCAAAGCTCCAAAAAAGGAATTGCATGGCTAGAAGTTAATTAATAGAAAAGACACTTTTATGAATGAGCACTTGGAAGGCGTCCACCATAAAGAGTAAAAGATGATGAGATTTAGCGGAAAAATAGTATCCTTATTCATCATTATTTAGTGGTCAAATTTGTGATGAATATATTTTTTTCTCTCAAAATTTTTCAATACTCAAACGGAGATTTGTGGTGCGAGTACCACCTAGCGATTTGAGGCAGGCAGGATAGCAGCATAAACAAACGTCTCAGTGCGAGTTGATGACGAAAAAATATTCAGACCAACGCCATTGATGTTGCCATGTTTGTCATGCCAATTGCCAACTTGCTCATATAGTAGTTACGTATCTCCACCTTAGATGCTCCTAGGGCCGGTAATATGGGTCACGACATGACAATACGACTCAAAAACGACACGAATTTTACGAGTTAGGGTTGAGAAAAAAGAGGTTCGGGTCAGAATTGAGTCGACCTGAAATTGACACGAAAAATACGGGTCAATTTCGGGTTGAACCCGCCTAACCCGAACACGACACGAAACTCGTAAAAAACTAAAAAATACATATATTTTTCATTTCATATTTTAAATTTTATTATGAACTTGTGATATCATGATAGTTATACTCAAAATCTTATACTATTATTTGTTTAATTTCAATGGATGTTATTGTCATTTAGTGTGTTATGAATTTTAAGTTATTTCTAATATGTAAAAAATTAAATAAAAGTATACAATTTTCGTGTCAATTTCGGATTCACGGGTCATTTTCGTGTCACGGGTCATTTTCGAATCGTGTCGTGTCAACTCGTAAAGTGGTCGTGTCATGTTCGTGTTGCGGTTTTTAAAAAATTTCGCGTCACAAACCGTGTTTAGATTGACTGTAAATTTTAAAAAAACGATCAAAACACGACACGTGACATAAATTGCCACCCATGCTCCCAAGGAACTTACTAGATCCGTGTGCGTAACGATCTTCTTGAATAGTGTGCAATGAGATATGAAAGAATAAATTTGGAAACATGGTGGCGTAGCTAGATAGCGAGGCATATCGCATTATCCCTCTCGAAATGCAAGCTCGTATACCCCACCCATCGTGGTGAGACTTACTGGAACGCAAAACATATCGAGAAGAATGAGCAATCTTACCGTCCCATGATATGACTAATACCAGTTTTCTCATATGGTATGTAAGGGCCCATCAAGGATGTGAAATAGGGAAATTAATGCTAAGTTGCCAACAGAAGAAGAATGGTTTTCTGGAATTTAAGTAGCGTCTCTACATGATCAGCACAAGAGAACAGAGGAATGAACAAATAATTCAAGCACAAGCAAATAACAGATTAAATAACTTGTAGTAAAAAGATACTATAGCCTAAAGAGTAAAAACAGAAACCTAAATAAAGTTTAAACAAAAAAAAAAATAACTAAACTTATTAATTTGATCCCACGAGAAAATATAACTGAAACCCAAACGAGACTGCACATATTATTAGTCTTGTATTAACAACAACCTGTAGTGCTCATCCACACCACTTGGTTGATCTACAATCTTAGTTCAGAAATCACTTCCAGTTAAACTGCATGGATTGGACTGCCACTAGAATTCATGTTTGAACTGCTAGAGCCTGGATTGGCGTGGAAGGCCGACTGCCTAGACGAACCTTCGAGAAGCTTCAGCGAAAGGGGGGACGGACCGGCATTACCAATAGAATCTCCTAAACTCAGTTTTGACATGCCCACAAGCTCATCGACATTGATTGGGCTCTTTGAATGAACTGCTGTTGGCTTGACCACCTCATGAGTCTCCTTGTTTTGTTCTGTGCCATTATCATATCCAGACCAAAATGGAATTGGAAATGGGAAAAATGGTGAGACATACGCAGGATAAATTATAGGGTAGCAGGTCTGTGAGCTATCAGGATTCAAAGGGACGGGTTCTCCATCATTTGAGTTAGTAGAATCCATCGATTCACATTCTTCATCGATAGCAGGAGGATCAAGCGATGTGTTCTCGTTTGGCAGTTCCATTTGTGGTTGGTTGACAGACAAGAAGTCTCGAGGCACCATTGGGGCATCAGCTGACTGCAAGAAAAGGGTAATGGCACAACACATTATACACATAAATATATCAAATTTGAAGACAGCTTCTCAAGGGGAAAAATAAATATTTTTCTAAAGATTGCACATGAGATCTCAACAATGTTTGACGAGGAAAGTAGACAAAACTAAGACAAATGATGCAGTCAAAAGCCAGAGCAGAGTGCAAATGCAGTTTTCTGCTTAACCAGTCTAAGTGAAGTGAAGAGAAAATGAATGATACCTTAACCATAGTGAAGAAAAACAAATAAGTATAATGTCCAACCTAGGATGAGAACATTAAGGATTCGTTGTGTCATTGGGCATGGCTACTCTAGATAACAAATGTGTCTTTTGATAACAAAGGGGCAAGCCCACCATGTGTATTAAATGAAGCCAGTATTTCTTTATTTTGTGCGCGGAAGAGGACGCCAACCTACAAACTAAGTTGTGTTATCCGTTCATGCACAAGACGTAAAAGGAAGGTACTAACTTCATCTGCCACAATATCAAAAAGGCTGGATCGTCTTTTTCTCCTGGATACATTGGTCTGCCGAATAAAATATTTCTGAGCATGGCTGGCCACTTGAGTGGGTGTCCTTGATATAACATAATTGCGTGCAATTCCACGCCAATCGCCTTTTCCAAGCTTCTGTAATCCAAGTAGAAACATCCTATGTTCTTCCTCAGTCCAAGGAACACCTGCAAATAGAGTAACTATTAGCTGCTAGGACCAACAAAAGTAAATTGGCAAACAATTCCAGTTTTTTCTTCCTTTTTTCCATCGAATGTAAATTCTGGGTACTCACCGGTATGGGATTGATTTAGACTCATAAGCACCCCCTTTCATAGCCAAGGAATACACGTCGATGAGCCCAAGTAAGCATTTTTTACTATTAAGTACTATTTAATTTTTTATGCAAAAGGAAAATTTTATGGAAAGCCTAAGCATCACTATCTCCCCACTCTCTCCCTCAACATTTCTTACCACAGCGACCATGGCACATGTTTCTAATACCAAGCTTAATTGCATATGTAAAACATGATTCTACTAGCAAGTAGCAAAATGAAATTGTTCCCAATTTCTCCAAAGATCATTTACTTCACCCGATCACTATATGGGCTAAGGCCCGGGAATATCATTTAGTTCACCCGATCACAACTACTTCTTTACTGCCTTGAAATGATCTAAATATTACTAAACAAAAATACAAATCCCATCAATCTTAATTCAGATTCCAGATTTAACAAAAAAAAAAACAAAAAGAAGTATATTCAAATCAAAAGAAGAGCTAAAGAAAAAACCTCTCAACTTCAAAAATACCAGAAACAGGCAAAAGAAAACTAATACAAACAAATATAACATTCATTTTTCGAAAAGCTAAGAAAAAACCTCTCAACTTCAAAAATACCAGAAACAGTCAAAACGAAACTAATACAAACAAATAAAACATTCATTTTTCCCATCCCAAAATAACATAAAAAGTACAACACTCTTTGTTTCACAAACTTCTGCTCTAAATTCTTACAGATAGTACCGAATTCTTTACTAATCAAATCAAAGACAACAAAAAAATAAATAAAAATTGAAACAAAAAAATAAAAAATAAAAAACGAACCTTTCTTCCGTTCGCGGCTACTGGACGACGACCCGGGCACGAAATCCTCCGAGGCGTACCCGTCGGCGGCTCCGCCGTGGTCCGGAGTCTCTCCGGGAGATCCAGGGACGTTGGGCCCGCCTGGAGTCGAACCCGACCCGGCGTAGTGGCTGAGGGTTCCCATACTGGCGCTCTTCCCGATCGACCCGTCGGACAAGCTTTTTTTCGGTCAATCGGACCCCGAAGAGCTTCACTCCGCGGTTAGGGCACGTCCTTGAGTTGTGCCCATTGTGGCTGCAATGCGAGCACCTCCGAGTCATGGCGTGTCAACTCGCCGAATCGGAATCGGAAGGTTTTGGTGGGGGCCGGCAAACTAAGGAAGAAGGCGATTCGGATCGGATCCGAATATCCGAATTACATTATCTGAAAGAAGAATATTGGGATTTTTGCTGGTTAGGGCTTTTTTTGGGTTTGGTTTTGGTTTCTGCTTGTGCTTGATCGATCTCTCTCTCTCTTCCTCAGCGAAAGCTTTCGCTGGTGATGAGAGAGAAGAGGAGAAAGAGAGGGACAATCAAACGCTATATCCATATAATCTTCTCGTGGATAAAGGGAAATTATTGGATGCGTCGCGTCTAGGTTTCTAGTGGTGATCTCCTCGATGTGGTCGGTTGAAAAGTCAAACGCGCTGGTTGTGTGGCTGAAATTTTTCTTGGTCCTTTTCTGGTCAACTGTGGAATTTCTAAGTTGACCCGCAATTTCTTATGTTTATCTGCTTTTTGCATGGTTTTTTATTTTTTTCCCTTTCTTTCCCTTTTCTTTCTTGATTTTGTTTTTTTTGAGAATTTTCGCCGGAATTTTGTCCAGTTGATTTTGCTCCTTCGAGTTGAAACTTGACAATTGAGTTGAATAATGAAATTATGTGAGAAAAATATTATAAAAAATTAAATTTAAATTTTTATAAAAAAAAAATTATGGTAAAAGGTTTGAGTTGTAATTTAAATGGTGAAATTTTACAAAGAAGTGTTCAAGTCATAAGTGGTGCGTAGGATTAAAAGATATTTTGTCATCTTACTTATATTTATCCACTATTTTTTCCTTTTATGTAATTACTTTTGTACATATACCATATTGTTTGTACAAATTTTATTATGATAAGATAAGATGATTGTTAAATGTAGTTTTTATTTCAAATTCTGTTACAAAGATTGATACTCATTTGACATGTGTATTCAAAATATTGAAATTTGTGGCGACAAAAATGTATTATTATCACGTTATTATTATCACGTTTTTCAAGTTAGAAAAAAAAAAGGGAGCACTCCTCTATATAATAGTAAGTAAATATCTAAGTGAAATTCTACATGTAGATAAAGGTCCGTTCACTTCGTTAATTTGAGTTTGTAATTTAAGTTGAGATGTGATTTTATGTGAAAGTTTTTTACTGTAGTAAAAAAGTTAGATATGACTATTTTTGAGAATTTTTTACTGTAACAAAACTCAAATTTTAAACTCGAATCGGTGAAGTGAACGGAACTAAGATTGTTTGAGGACTAATTGTGATTATCTTTTCGCTCGTGGAAATAGTGTTGATTATTATTACGGATAATAGTATGGTGCTTAGTGATATAGAGACGTATTTTGTTTCTTAATGGTTGGTAGGTCGACCAATGCCTTCATTTATTGTCCCATTTACAAAACAATATACATTAGAAGAATTAAAAAAAAAAAAAAAAAAAAAAAAAAAAAAAAAAAAAAAAACTTCTTCCACAGTAATAAGCAAACAAATGACTAAAACAAGAAACAAAAAACAACCTTCTCTTTCGGATCCCACTACAAATTCACAATTGTAATGGAGGAGTATGAGAAAAAAAAATAATGTTCATCCAACAGAAAATGAAAGAGGAAAAAAAGACTTTTTTCAGTACGTTAATATACTGATGAATTAAATTTTTTATTCATCGTATTTATATAAATTACATAAAAATTAAAAAATATACATATATAATAATTAAAAATTTTAATTTATTAATATGTTAAAGATAATCTCTTAAGAAAGAAAAAGATTGAAATAAGATAACAATAATTATGATATAACACCAAAAAAAAGCAAAAAGATGTTATCTTATCGGGAAAGAAATTCAGTGCTTTTATGTTTGGTAAGAAAGCATTCAAGACAGTGCTTGTGTTATTACTGACTTATCCATTCCAAAAAAAAAAAAAAAAAAAAAAAAAAGACTGTCACATTATCCACTTTTAGCTTTGACATGCAACGAATTATCTTATTTCTTTCGCTCTTTTTTTTTTTTTTTCACTTGTCAACTTTGCCTCTAGACTACGTTTTGGGTTATAATTATTTTATTTTATTTTTTGAAGTTTTGGATTATTATCTATAAGTAGCAGAATATCCCTGAAAAAAATCCAAATGTCCAAATGCCAAGTCTTTTTTTTTAATGAAAAAGTCCAAATTCCAAGTTGTAGCTTTTTGGATAACGCGTCAATGAATGTAACAGTGTTAGGAGTGCTAAAGTGGCCTAAAGACAAATAATCCCTACGACTCTTTTACATATGTTATTTTATTTTTTTGACAAGTGACATCCTCAATCTCTTAAATAAACAAATTTAAGTCATGTTATTTTATCGATTTGAGTTTAAAATTTGAGTTTTATTATATTAAAAGTTCTAAAAAATAATTATATTTAATGTTTTTGTTACAATAAAAAATTCTCACATAAAGTCACATTTCAACTCAAATTAAAAACTTAAATCAACGAATTAAACAAGTCCTTAATAACAAACCATTTCTTTTAATATTATTTATAAGATTAAAAGAAATAGCTTGTTATTAAGTTACTTTATTTGAGAAAGTGAAGATGTCATTTGTTGAGAGAATAAAATAGTATCTAAAAAGAGTCTTTATTTAGCATTTCTCTAACAGTGTATAGCTAAAGCGGGTTGAGACATCGGCATTAGAAGTTATTGGAGGTTTCTAAATTCATGAGTATGTAGGATCTAATTAATTGAATAAGTTCAACTTATTTGAGCCCCGTTCATTTCACCGATTCGAGTTTTGTTACAGTAAAAAACTCTCAGAAACAGTCACATCTAACTTTTTTACTACAGTAAAAAGCTCTCACATAAAATCACATCTCAACTCGAATTAAAAACTCGAATCAACGAACTAAACGGGCCCCATAGTTGTCGTCATTATCTTTACACCATCAAGTGTCCAAAATGCTACAAACTGGGAGCAGTAAAATGTCACAGACTTGAACTATACCCTCTCAATTTTGAGTTAATTCTACGGTTGCTCATGTTTTCTTATAATTAAAAAAGTATCTCTATATTTTTAAATCATCCCCGAGTTATATTTTGCTTTTTCAGAAGATGAACAATATTTAAAAATTATCTTTAATGGTCAAATTGTTAAAAATAATTTTTTTTTTCAATGATCAATATTTAAACGTTATCTTAAATATTAATAACTAAGAAAATAAATTTTGAAAAAAGGGTAAAATTTTCAGTAAAATAAATTGTTGGAAAAGGGTAAAATTCAACTAAATTTTATACTCTTTTTGCTTAATATAAATTCTCACATAATTTGACTGTATCAGAATTTAATGACTCAAAATTGTGTAATGTTTTTATACATTTTTTATACCATGTCATATAATTATTCTACTTGTTTGTCTCTCTTTTTTTTTTCCTGAGAATGTTCTGATAATATGAAAAACAATGATCTTATTGTATTGGATCCCGTTTTTTTTTTTTTTTTTTTTTTTTTTTTTTTTTTTTGGCAAACTTTTTGGGAAAGCCATAAAACACAAATCGAAAGTTGGGATAGATAATAAAGAGAAGGATTTGATAGGCCACGTGGAAGGTAAGGTTCTATATTGGGAGCATAAGAAATTCACGATCTATATCGGATATCCAGAGTCGGTAACAGGTTTCACAAAGAACATCCACGTGCGTTTTGTTTTACATTGTTTTTTTTTATTTGTTTTTTTTTTTTTATTCTTGAGGATCATGAAGAGGATATGGCATATTCTAACGTGCAAACGCATATAAGATATCTTATGGAAAAAAATTTTAAAAAAAATAACGTTAAAAACACCGATTCTCATATTAATTTTTTTATATCAACTTATATGACATTTAATTATCATCTTTTTATTAATAAATACTAAAATGAGATAGAGTTGCTGTTTCTAACACTACTCATATAAAACTATAATATGCAGAGAAAGTTAGTAACTGAAATTTTCAGAGAAAGTTATATAATATGCAGAACATAAAACTACATTATAGTTTTTTAAGGATAATAAAGAGAATATTTATCATATCATATAATATTTTATAAAAATTATAGTTACTATAAAATTGGGACATAATTATGTTTATAAACTTTTAAGTTATTTGTGAATTTAATCTCATTGACTAATTGTCAAAAAAAAAAATTCAAAATTTAACGAGTAATCTGGAAAAAAAAAAGAAAAAAAAAGGAATCAAAATGGCGCAATGCCCATATGTTCATGTAATATTTTTGATAATTCTAAAACTATCTAACTCCTTTTTTTTCTTCATTTTTATCGTTTTCATCTCAAATCCTGATGCTCATTCTACCGAAACTAAGACATATGCTATGATCCTTAATTTTTCAACGGGATTCTTTTTTTTTTTTTCATATGTGTAATTTTTATTTTATAAATAAAAATATATGTACTTAATTAGATCTATGTCTAGGTGCGCTTTTTTTTTTTTTTTTTTTTTACTATATGTAACTCTTAGGGAGTTTTTTTTGGTAGGACAAAAAAAATTTAAATATCAGTAATTCTCTACTTTTAGTTAACAGTTAAACATGTATTAAATTTTATTTGTTTTAAATATTTTTTTAATTTAATGTGATTTTAATTAAACTAAACGGTCAAAAAACTAGCTCTATTTATAGAAAGATTTTAAGTCCCGGTAACCCCCAACGTATGCAAGATATCGCGCTTTGGTCGCCATGCTTGTCCATGCAACCAGCTAGTTAGCGCACGAGTTGGAAAGTCGTGGTGAGTGTGCCCCATACATAACTAATTAATTCAAAGCTTAGCACCGCTGATCAATACTAGTTTAATTTTCTTCCTATCATAAGCTGACATCTAAAGCTTAATTTGTGTGTTAAAAGAGTCGTCGATTTTTTTCAAATGTTTACTTAACTATTAAATGATATAATGAGAAACAATTATATTCTCTTTCTAGTGTCTATCAAAATTAAGAACAATAATATTATCAATGTAATCACTAAAATGTCTCTTTGCATAATTAAATAGTCATTGACTATATAGTATTCATTAAGGGATAAGTAAATTAGGCATTCATTCCCTTTAACAAAGAATCAATACCAAGGGGAATATAAAGATTGACATTCGCTTTCCTCATTCCTTATATTGTATGGGGTACCAAATCTCCGTTACTAATTTTATAAGTACATTATTAGAGCAACTTCAATCATGCTAGTCATTTCACGTTTTTAGCTAAAATGACTAATGATTTAGCTTTTTTGAGTTTTTCTCTACTCCAACCATTAAC